CATTCAAGGGCATGCAGGGAGGAGAAGAGAGCAATGTGGATTGCATGGCTTGTGGGGGAGGAAAGGGCCCTGATTCCCTTCATTAGCCACAGCTGGGAAGACAGTTGATAAGAAATGAAGACTGCTGGGAGCAAACATGACTTTATCCTGTGTTGTCATGGCTTATCTTTGTTCCCAACATCTTTCCAACTGTGTGAGTTTTGCCATGCTTTTAAATCTGAAATGCTTGCTTCTGCCCTGCCAAACTAATTATTTCAGTTTGGCTTGTTTGGATAACAGATAAATAGATAATCAGAGCTGGAAGGGACCTTGTAGATCATCTAGTCCAACCCCACCCGCCCAAGCGGGAGACCCTACACCATTTCTGACAAATGGCAGTCCAATCTCTTCTTGAACTTTAAGTTACAGTTTGCACTTTAACTTACAGTTTGTGTTGACCATGTTTTGGACTTAATTTTTTGCAGTCAAAGTTTTTCTCCAACCAGAAGGTAAGCTGGACATTGGGGGCAAAGTTGGAGATAATAAAGAGACTCTTATTGATTTTCTGACTGTGTTGCCTTTGGCCACACCCCGGGTCATCACAGGCTGCGATTACAACCTGTGATTGCAAATACATTCCTGGGCAGGAACGGATACAGAAATGATAGAAGAAAGGAAAAGACTATTATTACCTGTATTGGACTGCTTTTCCGTTTTCCTCCATCAGCTCCCTTTAGAGTGACCATACCTGACATGAATGTTGAGTGGAAAATTAACCTTTTCTCTATTTCTTTCTGTCCCATGCAATGGTGTTGTAGTTCCTTCCTTTTCTTTATTTGCAAATAAATCCTCCTCCTGATGTGAAGGGCAGGAACCTTTCTGCATTTTGCCACACTGAACATGGCATCTACCCTATGCCTCCTCCTTTTTAATTACAGCTTGACTCGTGTGCCCTTTTGTATGTGATAATTAACATTTCTTCTACCCTCATCGTACAATGGCAATTTATCTCTTGAAGGTATGATTCGCTTCTTACCCTCTTTTATTTTTGCTCTGGAAGAGGACACAGACTTAAAATATTTTCAAAGGGGAAAGTGAGTGTTGTCCTGTTCTGTAACAAGTCTTTATTAGCTGCTGCACGTATTAACACAATTATACACAATACATTCCCTTCTGCCATATTATGCTTTATTAATGTTTTAACTTTCCCATCTCCATGGTTACTTGATAAATTAAGTATTCCTGAGGCAAGGAGAGGCTGAATATACATGGATAAGATGCACCCACAAGAAATATCAGTGGAGTGTTCCCTTAGAGGGTTGATATAAACCAAAATATGTGAGATTATCTCTTTCCCTTAATGGACCTTGTTGACCAGTGAAAATAACCAATTCTACATATGGTGTGGGGACTGCAGCAAAGTTTAGGGCAGACTGAGGTGTAGCTCACTTCTGGAGGTGCAGACTGTTCAGAGTTTTTGCAGCGTTAATTCAGCACCAGAAAAATAAACACAGATGGCTGATGCTTCACTTAACATCTTTATAAACATAATAAGTAGATTTTACAAACCAGTTGTAGATTTCTCCAACATGGAACAAACTCAGACAGAAACATGTTGCAAGTAACTTCAGTAGCTACTACTAGTAGACACTACTAGTTCAGCAAGCAAGCAGAGGAGGGAAGCAGTTTCATTTTCAACGGACAGACTCAAGAACTCAACATAGCTTCAGAGCTGCAGAGCTTAATATAGAGCCACGCCTAGGCTACTTCTAGTTTCAGTTTCCAAACAACCCTCATTGTCTAACTTAGTTGCTAGGCCTATTCACTGGCTGACCTTGTTACTATGTTCTATTCCAGTTCATGAATATACTCAGACACAGACAGAGTCCAAGGAGGCATGAAGAGCCATTAAATCCGCTTTTCCAAAATGTTCACTGCACTGCTTTCATTACAGGTAGTCCTCGACTTAGGAACACAACTGAGGCCAACATTTCTGTGAGATGGTTGTTAAGTGAAATTTGCCCCATTTTACAATTTTTCTTGCCATGGTTGTTAAGTGAATCACTGCAGTTGTTAAATTAATAATCCAATCGTTAAGTGAATCTAGCTTCCCCCTTTGACATTGCTGGTTTTGAGAAGGCCTCAAAAGTGGATTCCATGACCCTTGGGACACTACAATCGTCATAAATATGAGTCAGTTGCCTTATGTCTGAATTTTGATCACACGACTATGGGGAAGCTGCAACAGTTGTAAGTATGAAAACAGCTGTAAGTCACTTTGTTCAGGGCCATTGAACTTTGAACGGTCACTAGATGAACTGTTGTAAGTCAAGGATAACCTGTTTTCATTTTTGTTCATGGTAGTGTTTGGATTTTTAGAGAAGGCGGGTACATTAAAATTGGGGTACTGAAAGAAACCCCCCCCTATTATTCTCAGTACTTACGCAGGGAGTAGGCACACACCACGTGTTTCTTTTACGTTAAAATGCCACAACTTTCCAAATTGGGCTCTGTTGTGAATTGGATAACAGCAATGGAGCCTTTTGTCATCGGTTGTTCTCAATTTGAAAATCCTCACAGGTTACACCACATGCAAAACTCAGCATGTGTCTGGGAAAACTTGTTTTAAGAGCGGGCACGTTATACCAAATTGAATCATTTATTTATTTTATTTTATTTTATTTGCTTTGTCAATTGCTTACAAGATAATAGGTATAAGTATAAACATAGTTATGAATACATGGATGCATATAAGAAAAATAAAAGAAACAATAGGACAGGGATGGTAGGCACATTGGTGCGCTTATGAGCACCCTCTACAGACCTCTTAGGAAGGGGGTGAGGTCAATAGTAGACAGTCTAAGGTACAAGTTTTTGGGGTTTGGGGAAGACAAAGGAGAAAGGTGCACGTAGGACACAGTGGAACGTTGAGGTTGAAAATTGAGAAAAAGCTATACAAAGTCCATATAACAGCGATAGTAAAAGCCCAGAGCCTTTTTGCCTTGGGGCAGCTAGAATAATAATAATAAGATCCTTGGGGAGGACTCGATAGATGGACAAAAGCGCCAAATCCAGTCTTAAACATATGGTTGATTGTGCGACCAACCATAATAATATGTCATGAGGATTTTCCGGACATATGCATACATTTGCTTTGAAATTTGATGGAATGGGAGCACAAACAAGTGGACATAAATTATTTATAATGTATCTCCCCCCCACCAAGTGTTCCAACCTGTTACAGTGAATTAGAAATGAACCGTACTTCAAATTACACAAAAGGAATAAAACCAACATAGGCCGTAATATTAACCCTCGCAATGAAAATAAAATGTATATAATTATGAATGAATATGTGAGTACGTGCAGCATTCACATAGACTGATCTCAACATTCCAAGATTTTCAGTGGCATGAATATTTTATACGAAACAGAAAGTAGTTCATTAAAACCAGTTGATGTTTTAATGAAAACATAACACACTGATTAGCAAGTTCATTAAGTGTGGACTAGAAAGCACAACAATTAAAGGGATATATAGCTGGCTCAAAGGGTGCTTGTCAATGCTGCCTCATTAGATTGGAGACAGAAATCAAATAGGATGTTACCAAGAACAGAGTTGAGCCCGCTATTGTTCAAAATTTTCATTTATAAAAACAAAATTCTTCTTAAGTTCCTCTTGAATGATATAAATTTGAGTGGGATACATTAATACCGCCAAACTTAGAAATAAAATTCAAGTAGATTTGGATTGATTGGAAATATGACTAAAAGTAAATTTGTTTACTGTGCTTAGGAAACAAAACATCCAATGAATGAGTATAAGGAAAGAGGTTGCCTGGGTTATGTTTTGGGCCACCAGCAGCCAGTGGAGCTGGCGGCAGACTCAGACAGTGAAGAGGTTGGGGAGGAATATGGCCAGTCCTGGAGTCTGGGGAAGGCTGATGAATGCTCTGCATTGGAGGCAGAGATGGGACCAGGGCTGCCTGACGGTTACAGTATCATCTGCCTGTGGAGTCGGAGATCAGTGGGGCAGAAGAACAGCTGGAGCCTGTTCCTGCTGTGTGCATGCGCAGAGCTGTCAGGAGAAGGGAACAGTTAAGAAACAAGGGTCGACTCGGGAATAAAGGCACAGGTGGATGGTGAACAGCCCCTCCCAGAGGGAATAAAGAGGAGCAAAAGGGGAGTGCAGGAGACAATTCATTTGTTTAATTACTGTGAACATTTGTTTGTGGCTCAGAGACTCCTTGCCAAGTATTTTCTTGTACAGCGTTAGGCTTGGAAATTATCGGCTTGGTAGCTCTCCAAGCCTGATAAGGTCTGTGGTTGTAATTCACCCTTGAAAGACTGTTTGCCGGGACTTTGCTGGATGCGAATGATAGGAATTTACTTTAGCCTAATAAAAAGGGGGGTATTGTCAGGACAAGGAGTCTGCTTTGTGATTTTGTGAAGCCTAGGTCAGAACAGGTTGGTCTGAAAAAGAATACATGTGAAAGAGCTCAGAACAAGAGCCTATTGAAAAGAATGTGGCCCAGCAGCATAATGCCAAGGCAAATGTAATTATGGGCTGCGTCAACAGAAGTATAGTTTCCAAGGACAACATAATTTCATTATTCTATTCTTTTTGGATCAGGCAGTATGAAGGCTACTCTGTCCACTTCTGGGCACTACATGTTAAGAAGACTTCAGAGAAGCTGGAGTACTTTCGGAGTAAGGCAAGTGAAGAAGGACAGAAGGACAAGAGAAGCAGCCCTTTGAAGATGTGTTGGGCATCTTGCGGAAAGACAACGGAGAGGAAGTATCAGAGGCCCCTTCAAATACCCAAGAAGTATGTCATACAGCAGGAGGTCAAGACCTGTTCTCTCTCATTTTGGAGTGCAGGGCATGAAATAATGGATTTCAGATTCTATCTGAAGGTAAGAAAAGACTTTCTAAGAGAGAGAGCAGTTTAACAGTAAAACCAATTATCTAGAGAAGTGACAGGCTCCTTTTCACTCAAAGTATTCATGGGGAAGCCAGACAGCCAGGGGTGGGTTTCTACCGGTTCGCACTGGTTCTATAGAACCGGTTGTTAAGGTCACCAGTAGTTCTAAGAACCGGCAAAATCGACCCCTGCTTGGCCCCGCTCCTCTCCGCCGCTCCTATGGGCCAAAAACCGAATAGTAAAATAATTTTTATTTATGTGTTTATTTATTTCTTTAGTATCTGTTTTGTTTTTATGATTAAAGGTTAGGGTTAGGGTTCTTGTTACACTGATGTTGCTAAATGTAACAAGAAGTTGCCTGTCTCCCTTTTAGTAAGTTGCTTTTCTTTATTTATATATTTTTTTACTATCTGATTTTGTTTTTATTAATCATAAAAACAAAACAGATAACCAAAGAAATAAACACATAAATAAAAATTATCTTAATATTCATCTTAATGTTTCTTCTTTGCTTAAAGAAACATCAAGATGAATAGTAAAATATTTTTTATTTATGTGTTTATTTATTTCTTTAGTATCTGTTTTGTTTTTATGATTAAATACATAAATAAAAAGGCAACTTACCAAAAGGGAACAGGCAACTTCTTGTTACATTGATGTTATAGATTATCTGTTTCTGCTTAAATCAATATATAGCAACATCAACGTAACAAGAAGTTGCATGCATTCATAAATGAAAATTTTTAAATAAAAGTGTTTTTTTTAAACATAAACAAAAACATAAAGCATAAACCATCTTCAGTTATATAGTGTGTTGGTTGGTACAAATCACTTGTGCACAATCTCTGCAGTCTTTCCTTTCCAATTTGCACAAATCCTTATATCAAGCTAAACAGTTGGCCACTAAGAGAGCACCTGGTCATTAAGTGAGTACCACTTAAATTTGGGTTGCCAGCCAGATGGCCACCTGCCTGGGCCTTGCCAGGGCCTCCCCAGGCCTTGGAAACTGGCAAAAAGCACTTGCTAAGCAATTGGCCACTAAGCGAGCACCTGGTCATTAAGTGAAGACCACTTAAATTTGGGGTGCCATCCACATGGCCACACCCACCCCAGTCACATGACCATATAGCCACACCCACCCCAGTCACATGACCATGATCATGTGATCAAAATTCAGATGCTTGGCAACTGGTTCATATTTATGACAGTTGCTGTGTCCCAAATCATGTGATCCTCTTTTGTGTCCTCCTGACCGGCAAAGTCAACGGGGAAGCCAGATTCACTTAACCGGGTTACTAACTTATCAGCTGCAGTGATTCACTTAACGACTGAGCCAAGGAAGTTTGTAAAATGGGGCAAAGCTCACTTAACAAATTCCTCACTTAACAACAGAAATTTTGGTACTCAATTGTGGTCGTAAGTTGAGGACTACCTGTAGCTAAGTGCTATTGCTGTCATGAGCTGCACTAGCTGTTCGTTTGCTTTCAGATCTGATTCAAGTTGTTTATCAGTACCTTTAAAGCCCTTTGTGGCAGTGGTCCCCAACCCGCAAGTCACGGACTGATCTTTGGCCTGTTAGGAACTGAGCACAGCTGGAGGTGAGTGGCAGGTGAGTGAGGGAAACTGAAACCATCCGCCCATCCTCCCTCCCGATCCGTGGAAAAATTATCTTTCACAAACCTTCCCCTAAATGTCAAAAAGGTTGGGGACGTCTGCTTTATGGCATAGCTCCAGGCTATCTGAAGAACCATCTCACTCCAATGGGTTTGGCCCGCCCCACTTGTTCCATTGTTCAATGCTTTCCAGCTGTCAGGGCCCAGGAGAATGATCTTTCCTGCTGTGTGGCTCTCACTCTGTGGAACAGTGTGCCCCTCGAGGCGAGATCCGCCTCATCCTCTTGATCTTCTGTGAGGGCCTGAAAACTTGGCGCTGCAAATGGGGCCTGGAGCTCCGATCCGAGTGTTCCACGTTGGAGGTGGTTTGTGGACTAGGAAGGAGGTCCCACCCTGCTGTATTTTGGTTTTTGACTTATTTCATGTTTGTCCCCCTTAACATTCAGTGTTTTTCACATTTGCTTTCACCATGTTGTAAGCCACGCAAAGTCACTTCAGAGTGAGATGGGGAGAGCTTATAAATTTAATAAACAATAGATGATAGATAGATAGATAGATAGATAGATAGATAGATAGATAGATGATAAAGCAAGCAGGCTTTCCTGAGGTCTCAATTGCTTTAACGCTTCAAAAAAATAACCTGGCTCATATCTGTTTGATAAAGTTTCACTTTCAAATGCTTTAGAGGGCCTTTGGCTTGCTTCTAAAATTGCCAGCGGTTTTGTTAATTATGACCTACAACAGAGTAGCATTTTTAACGGAAGGTGCCACTTTTCTCCCTGTGGTGTTACACCCAAATAGCAGGCACCAAATCATTGAACCACGATCGGCATTTGAAATGATACATCCTCCACTCCATAAACAGATCGCTGAACCGTCCACTGCCCTTTGGTGTTGGGCCATCAATATACATTTGAAATAATTATATAGCAATCCACAACTTAGGGAATCATAGCACAAGTTACTCGCTTTTGTTGTAGAGACATTGTACATTCCACTTATTGCTTCACGGATGATCAACTTCCCAAATTTGAACCTGCTGCTCAATACAGCGGATCGGTTTGCTGTTGAGTAACAGCATTCAGCCTTGGCACTACACTGGGAGTGCTGCATCGTCAGCAGCAAGCGGAAAGCACCAAAACAGTAATTGCAGATAGTCAACCTGACCTTCACAGCTTTCACATGGTAACCATTTTCCTGGGTATAAATTATCTGCTGGCATTTCAATCTCTGGTCGATCCACCAATCAACTATGTGCTAGGCTGGCAAAATGGAAGATTGCTCACAGATTTGATCAGCAAATTGCCCTTCCGTATTTCATGGGTGCAGAACATGAAGAGATGGTTGAGAAATGCAGCAGCTAACTTCCACTGCCCTCTTTTCCTTTCCTTAGTGTCGCCAGGGATAAGGGCAATAAAAGAAGTACACCAAGGAAGGAAATGAAGACTATTGTTCATGTTGCAGATTAATGTTTGTTCCTACCAAAACTACCTCCACTTTGTAGTCCAGAGGTCTACAGCATAGCTGGCTGGGGAATTCTGGGAGATGAAGTCCACAAGTCTTAAAGTTGCCAAGTTTGTTGTAGACTCTGTTTTTGCTTACTTTTGCCGACAAGAAGTTTCCTGGAAAAGCAACAAGAAAAGTCAGAAGCATGGGGGTGGGAGGTAGACTATATGAAAATTTTGGAACAAACCATTATATTTTGTTAACCAGCAAAATGGACTTTGTAGACTTTGCTATCTCCACTTTGTAGACTGTGCTATCTCCACTTTGTAGACTTTGCTTTTATTTACTTCTGTCAACAAGAACGTTCCTGGAAAAACAACAGGAAAAGTCAGAAGCAGAGCGGTAGGAGGAGGACGATATGAACATTTTGGAAGAAACTATTTTTCCATGGATGACGTGAAACAGAACATCCATGAACATTCAAACTTCTCAAGATGTCAGAGTGAGCATTTGATGAAATGTGTACAGTGAAGCAAGCCAACATAACCCGAATTTGCCCATTTCTGTTTTCACTAAAGTCCAAATCAGGTAGTAAATGTTATGCCTGAACAAGGATAATGTCAGCCCTTTTAGGTAATCCAGACGGAAAATCATGAGTACTAATACTCAAATATTTTGGCTACCTAATGAGAAGGAAGGACTCACTGGGGAAGAGCCTAATGCTGGGAAAGATTGAAGGCAATAGAAGAAGGGGATGACAGAGAATGAGGTGGCTGGATGGAGTCACTGGAGCAGTAGGCGTGAGCTTAAATGGACTTCAGAAGATGGTAGAGGACAGGAAGGCCTGGAGGAATGTTGTCCATGGGGGTCACAATGGGTCAGACACGACTTTGTAACTAACAACAACAATACTATCTTTAATGTAAGGTTATAATAACAGAATCTTGCAGATCTGAAAGAACTTCCACCTTCCCTTCCCCACCGTTACTTTCCAGAGAACTTGGGAGGGCGCCTTGTGAGATGCTTTCTCCAATCTCAGTACTTCTTTCAACTTAAGATTTAATTCATCAGAATGTTGTCCAGGCTGCAGCTCTTCTGCCTGACCTCCAAGGTTATTCTCACAGTCCATTACAAATGTTGATCATGCCTGACAACAAAGTGAATTTGTGAATATGTTGAACAACCCGATTACAATAACAAATGCCTAAACTGGAATGAAAACAACAAACACACTCATTCTTTTTATGTATGTATAGCTGAAAAATATTCAAATGCCAGACCACTGACTGAAAAAGGATCCTATGGATTATATGGAAAATTTTCTGCCACAAAACATTACTCTTCATCAGGTTTTGGGTAGTTTTTGCAACCAATAAAGCCCTAGATGAGTACGAATAGGTGGTGCTCGACTTATGACCACAATTGAGGGCAAAATTTCTGTTGTTAAGTGATAACATTTGTAAAGTGAGTTTTGTCCCATTTTACGACCTTTCTTGTGACACTTGTTAAGTGAATCCGTGCAGTTGTTAAATTAGTAACCTGGTTGTTATGTGAATCTAGGTTCCCCATTGATGCTCTGCTTTCCCATTGACACATGAAAATCACATGACCTTGGGACACTGGAACCCTCACAAATATGAGTCAGTTGCCAAGCATTTAGATTTTGATTCCTGCAATGGTCATAAGTATGAAAAACGGTCATAAGCCACATTTTTCAGAGCCATCGCAACTTCGAATGGTCCCTAAAGGAACTGTTGTAAATCAAGGATTAGCTGTATTAGGATTTTTCAATTAACACTTATTTCTTATAAATAATCCAGGGTTTCAGATCTCCAAGAAATGTCTTTTTCTCAGATACCACTGTAAATAGGTTTGTTGGGGACACGAAGGATTGTGATTTTTTTCATCCATCAGCTGCTTTTTCTGCAGTCCTTTCTAGAAATATGACGTGACTGTGTGACCATCTGATTTTGTTCCCCAAAGGATCTGAGGTAAAATTCTTTAGCATGTCTTGTTTCTAGCTCTTCTTTTTTTGTTTGAGGCATAGTGCATTAGTTCAAATTAAGTGGGGACCTGCTGTCTTCTTAAATTAGAATTCTTCTCCTCTAAGTTTGCTCTTCTG